CTAGAGAGGTATCTTGACTTTGAAGTATCCAATTGAACACGGTATTGTTACCAATTGGGACGATATGGAAAAGATCTGGCATCACANCTTTCTACAATGAATTGAGAGTTGCTCCAGAAGAACATCCAGTCTTGTTGACTGAAGCTCCTTTGAATCCAAAGGCTAACAGAGAAAAGATGACTCAAATTATGTTTGAAACTTTCTCAGTTCCAGCTATGTATGTTGCTATTCAAGCTGTCTTGTCCTTGTATGCTTCTGGTAGAACTACTGGTATCGTTTTGGACTCTGGTGATGGTGTCTCCCACACTGTTCCAATTTATGAAGGTTATGCTTTGCCACACGCCATTTTGAGATTGGATTTGGCTGGTCGTGACTTGACTGATTACTTGATGAAGATTTTGATGGAAAGAGGTTACTCATTCAACACTACTGCTGAAAGAGAAATCGTCAGAGATATCAAGGAAAAGCTCTGTTATATTGCTTTGGACTTTGAAGCTGAAATGAAGGTTGCTGCTGAATCATCATCTGTTGAAAAGTCATACGAATTGCCAGACGGTAATGTCATTACTGTTGGTAACGAAAGATTCAGATGTCCAGAAGTTTTGTTCCAACCAAACTTCATTGGTATGGAAGCTGCTGGTGTTCATGAAACTACTTTCAACTCCATTGGTAAATGTGATATTGATATCAGAAAGGACTTGTACGGTAACGTTGTCTTGTCTGGTGGTACTACTATGTTCGAAGGTATTGCTGAAAGAATGACCAAGGAATTGACTGCTATGGCTCCAGCCTCCATGAAGATTAAGGTTGTTGCTCCACCAGAAAGAAAGTACTCTGTCTGGATTGGTGGTTCCATCTTGGCTTCATTGTCCACTTTCCAACAAATGTGGATCACAAAGGAAGAATATGAGGATGCCGGCCCAGGTATTGTCCACAGAAAGTGTTTCTAAATCTATCAGATTTGAACAAAATAAAAGTTGTAAAACAATTAAATTATTTATTAAAACAAATTGGCTTTCTTTTATTTTCTATTCAGCCTGAGAATATATGCCACAACTTATTTTACATCGAAGAGACACTAGTTTCCAATGACACTGAAGAACCTTTTCAGTGTTATTGATAAATTAACCCAACTAATCAGTATTTGTTAGCAATCGCTCCAACTTTTAAAATAATAGAGGTCCACATTGTAATATTCCACAACATTATAGAGTTATTTATCATTAACACTGAAAAGGTTCTTTTCTGCTTTTCTTTCTTCGTGTATCATTTTACTACAATTTTAAAGCAACTTGCCAACATTCTCCAAACCTAAAAGGAAATGGAACTCAGTTCTAAAATGAAATTAGTCAATTAGGTCTGTATTTTTCAAACATTGATGGGGTATTTCAGGTGTTGTAGTGGTCTGCATGTGTTGAAGAGGTCTGACACGGCGGAGGTTCAATTCCTTCCCTGATATTTACTCTTTTGCTTAGCTCCTAAATTGCTTACTCATTATAGAAATAAGGCAAATCTCTGTGATTTCAACTCTTTTGTTTTTAAATAATGAGTACATAATTTTATTGTTGTTGTTTTGGAGGTTTATAACCAAAGGCACCCATAATCTTCAACAAATTTTGATAAACGAGATCGTTTGGAACAGCACAACCACAAATCATATCACAGTGAATCTTTGTTTCCATTGTTCTTTCTTGAGCATATCCAAGCCATCTCTTTGGTTCAACACCACATTCTTCACATGCCTTGATAATGTCCTCCTTTGTGGCATTAACAGTTTGTAAAACAATACCCCAAGGTGTGATTTTCTTTTCAAGGGTGAGCTTTTTGAAAACTGGAACATCCTCTGGTTCATCCTTTCCAGCTATTTGTGCCCATTGCATTTGATCAGCAGCAGTCAACTTCATGCACTTGATAATAAGTGGTGGTTCTTGACCTAATGATTTACAAATAGCTCTAATAAATCTGATTGAGTTATTCCATGCACCTGCAGTTGAGTTCCATCCAGAGGTATTGACAGTTGTTGTTCCTCTTCTAGGAACCATCATATCTTTTTGACAACATGTATCAACTCCAGCGTCCCATTGAGAACTCAAAAATTTTGCCATTTGAATTTGTAAAGTCAATAATTGAGCCAAGACAGATGTTTTGAGTTCATCATTAATTCTAGAAATTACATCTTCAACAGGATATAATGATGCAATTAATTCCCACTTGGTTTGCAATTCTCTTCCTTTCAATAAATTCATCAAAAATTGAAGAGCATCATCAAGACCTCCTTGTTGTTGACTGTCAATGGTAAATGCCTTTCTAACACTGAATTCACTAACAGCTAAAGAAGTGAATACAATTGAAGGAATGTCAAATTTAGAGTCAGTTGTCAAAGTTTCCTTGATATCATTGAAGAGGTAGTATTCTGGAGTAAAGAATCTAGTAGCAAGACCGCTCTTATCAATCTTGGTTGAAATTGAAGCAACAAATGGATTGAATACATTTTGTAATCTTCCTCTCAATTTTCCTGCTTGTTCTACGGCCTTGTTATATTTCTTAAAGTGCCACAAACTCTTGTGTAATTGTTCTTTTCTCTCCTTATGGGTAAGAGTCTTGTAAACAGCAGTTAAGGTATTCTTTCTTTCTGGATAACCACCCTTTCTGTTACGATTCTTGAACTTGACAAATGATTCTTGTCCAATTCCACATAATTTTTCCAATCTCTCCAACAAGATGTAATATTCTGTAATTGTTTTCATATCTTGAGTTGGATCAAGAGGTGGTTGTTCAGCTTCAGCCAAAATTTTGTTAATCACATCAAATTTGATTGCTGGTAATGGAATTGTTGGTTTGAATGATTCTTTCATGTAAGAGGCTTGTGTTTGAGGTGTTTCGGTAACACCTGATTCAATGAAATTATTGAGTGATTCCATTCCACTTCCATTCATAGCTTTCCAGCATAGTAATGACTTGATCTTTTGAATAAGTTGACCTCTAGCAATAATGAGTGCAGAATATTCTTCATCTTGACATTCTTCCATTTTCTTTTCAATCCAAGTCAACCATTTGAATAACATGAAGGCAGCATTTTGAGGCATATATCTACCTTGAACAATCATTCCAGGAATGTGCTTGAAATAAATGTCAGAAATTTCCTTTTCTAAACGACTAAGTTTCTCTTGTTTGGCTTTGTCCATAAAATCAAACAAATCTGTAGGGCTCATTTTCAAAAACTTTTCTTTCAATTTCAAATCACTAGGATTCTTTATGGTCTTGGTTGAAAAGGTATAATAGTCAGAACATCCCAATTTGTCTTCAACATTATCGAAAAAGACCATCAAATGGTAATATGATGGAAATCCTTGATATTCTTGTTTAAAAGGATTATAGGAACTATGATTTTTATAGTAATCATAACTAGGACGATATTGTTCACTTCCTACAATTTTGGTAGATTCGGACCAAAATTTTCTACATTCCCTAACTTCTTTGTCAAGATAAGGAACAACTTCAAGAGGAATGACTTTAATTTCTTCAGTTTTTTGTTGTTGATTGTTGCTCATATTGATAATTGTTGGCTTGAATTTTACGAGGGTGTTAGGAAGATCTTGTAAAAACTTTTTATTTTTTTTAAAATCAAAAAGGTTTTGAAATGCTGCGGTTGCGTTTTTTTCCTTTGGTGTATTTTTAGAAGTGCAATTGTGTTTCTTTCAAAGTCTAGTTGAATGTTTCACTTGGCGAAAGTTCAATAACATGGTTTTCAACTTTATTAAAACTTAACCATATTTGAGATATTGAAATTATACAGATGATGTTGGACAACATATATTGGCTCAATTTCTTTGCAAGATGAAAAATCTCAATTTGAAAAAGAGTGCTTGTATTGGATAGAGTAATTCC